AAGAAATGTATAAATTCTTATATTTATAAGTAAAATATAATTATATCAAAGGAATAATTTTAAAATTCTGATTCGTTTATTCATAGTAAAATATCAGCTCTGCAATATTTCCGCATGGAATTGATAATTAATTAAATTGAAAGAAAATATCGAAAATATTTGTTAAATATTTATAAGCGATATAAACTAATTTATACTGTCATTAATTTTTTTTTTCGTAATTACCCCGATAGCACGGAATATTCCTTTCACATTTTAAAAATTCAATTCCCTTTTTTTAAAAATTAAATTCCTGTTTTTGAAAATTAAATTACTCTTCTCGAAAATTAAATTCCCGCTTTTGAAAATTAAATTCTCTTTTATTAAAAATTAAAATTCCCTTTTTAAAAATTAAATTTCCCTGTTTAAGAATTAAATTCCCTTCTTAAAAATTAATATCCTTGCTCTAACTGAATCCCCTTTTTGAAAGTTAAAATCACCTTATTAAAAATTAAATTCCCGCTTTTGAAAATTAAATTCTCCTTTTTAAGAATTAAATGTCCTTTGTCAAAAAATTAATATCCCTTTTTTAAAAATTAAAATCACCCTTTTAAAAATTAAATTCTCCATTTTCAGCTAAAATTACGACAAAAAAAAACCTCTTCGCTTCCTGATATAATGATATATAGATTATATTTAAAAAAAATATTTGATAAATTTCTGTACTTTATAAACATGCATAAATGTATGTATGTAGTACATATTCGAGGCAGTGCGAGCGATCGCCACAAATAACAATCCCATTGGCGATGGCGTGCAAGGATCGTTTTGACATGAAACCGGACGATATCTGGTTGTACGTCATAATATCCGTGGCCACGAATATGAAGTTGGAACACGAAATTCTGTGAAATCGGATGAAACCGATGGACGACATAGAGAAGAGTGACTGGGAAATGACTATACTCCTCTAACTCAACTCTCACTCCTCCTCCCTCGCCCCTTGTCCCACTATCCTGTTACCCCTCTTCAATTTTGTCCCCGAACCAAAATTTATAGCACCGAATTCAAACCAATTTTCCCATTTGAATCCAAATTTCAATTTCTGACACAAACTTGTCTCGTTAATATATATATATATATTTATACACACGTATACATAGATCGAAAGTTCAGATGTTGATTTTATCTATGAATTCAGTTCCGAACAATTTGTTTCGTTTAGGAATTTACATTCATTTCCTGATAATATGGATATATATATATATATATATATATATATATATATATATATATATATATATATAAATATTGTGAAGAAATTTTTTCGATATTTTGAATTTGATAGGGGGAATAATTTCACAGATGTAGTGACAAATTTTTATCTGGAAAAAATATTTTTATGTGAATTACTTTTTAAATGTGTAGGGAAGTGTTTAAAAAAAAAATAATATTGGAATATTTTGGAATTTTCTACTACAGGGTTGCGACAAAAAATTAATTTTGTTTTTCCCTGCCTTTCCCCTGATTTCCAAACTTTTACCTGACTGATTTTGTCTTTTTCCCTGACCCTAAAGAATATTCTGATTCACTCTAAAAATTATTAGACACTCAAAAGAAAACATTCTATTACATTTACTTACGAATTTCTTAAATTGTAAAATTATTCGCAAACATCAATAACTAATTAATTATTTAATTAATTATTTTTCCATAGGAATTAAAATTCTTCAAAACATTCAAATTCAAACATTTTTAAAATTCAACAATTTTTAAGAATATTATTATAAAACATGAAGATATCAATTACAACGAGTCTTCGACTCGGAGTAATTGATATCTTCATGTTTTATAAAAATTTAAATATCTATAAAATTTTTAAAGAGAAAATTCAATTATTTACGAAAATTATAATAAAATTAGTTGCAAGAATTTAATTATTTTCATAAATAATAAAATTCTTCACATGGTTTCAATTATTTTTAATACAATTTTATATAAATTTCTCGAAAAATGAAATTATATTCAAAAATTTTTTGTAAGAATTAAATTACATTTCACAAATAATGAAATTCTTCGATGAAATTAAAAAATTTTCAATATTTACTATTTTAATAAAAGTTCTCAAAAGAAATTAATTATTTAAATAAAATATTAAAAAAATTCGTTGCAGAAATTCAATTATTTTTACAAGTAATAAAATTTTTCACATGAATTCAATTTTTTTAAAAAAAATTGATAAAATTCGTTGTAAGAATTCCATTATTTTCATATATTATAAAATTTTTCTGAGAATTTCAATTATTTATAATACAATTTAAAGAAAATTCCTAGAAAAATAAAATTATTTTCTTTAATTTTTTGCAAGAATTTAATTACATTTCACGAATATAATGAAATTCTTCGTTGAAATTCAAATATTTTCAAAATGTACTATTTTAATAAAAGATCTCAAAAGAATTCAATTATTTTAAAAAAATGTAATAAAATTCGTTGCAGGAATTCAATTATTTTCATAAATAATAAGATTCTTTACATTATTTCAATTGTTTAAAAAAAATTTGAAAAAATTCATTGCAAGAATTCAATTACTTTCATAAATTAATAAAATTCTTCACAAGATTTCAATTATTTTTAATACAATTTTAAGTAAATTCTTCGAAAATGTAATTATTTTCAAAAATTTTATTAAAATTCTTCGAAAGAATTCAATTATAAATTATTTTTAAAAATTCATGTTATAATGCTTTTAATTTAATATTCAATTATTATCTAAAATTTTAACTGATATTTATTTTTAAATCAATTTTTATTGGGAAATTCTACGAGAATTTAATTATTTATATAGAAAAATAAATAATTTATTGAATAAATGAATGTTTCTCGAAATTGAATTATCATAAAGAATTTTATCAACAATATTGAATTTTTTCGAGGAATTTTATTAAAATTTTCAAAAATAATTAAATTTTTCGAGAAATTCAATTAAAATTGTATTAAAAATAATTGAAATTTTATGATGAGTTTTATTATTCATGAAAATAATTTAATTTTTGTTTCCTTTTTAAAAATTAAATTCCTTTTTTAAAAATTAAAATCCCTTTTCTAACTAAATCCCCTCTTTAAAAATTAAATTCCCCTTTTTAAGAATTAAATTTACCTTTTTTAAAAATTAAAATTTCCTTTCTAAAAATTAAATTTCTATTTTTGAAAATTAAATTACTCCTTTTGAAAATTAAATTCCCCTTTTTAAGAATTAAATTCTTAATTTCCTTTTTTAAAAATTAAAATTCTTTTTTTAAAAATTAAATTCCTGTTTTTAAAAATAATTTATTGAATAAATGAATGTTTCTCGAAATTAAATTATTTTAAAGAATTTTATCAACAAAATTGAATTTTTTTGAGGAATTCAATTAAAATTGTATTTAAAATAATTGAAATTCTATGATGAGTATTATTATTTATGAAAATAATTTAAGGTTTGCTTAGAATTTTATCAACATTTTTTCTTTAAATAATTGAATTCTTTTAAAAAATTTTATTAAAATAGTAGATATTGAAAATCATTGAATTGAGGAAAATTTTTTGAAAATAATTGAAATTTTGCAAAGAATTTTATTAAAATTTTTGAAAATCATTGAAATTCGGAGGAGAATTTTATTATTTTTAAAGATAATTGAATTGGAATTTTGAAGAAGTTACAAATGATTAATTAATTAATTACAAATGATTAATTCAATTATTTTCAACAGTAATAAAATTTTCGACAGAAGAATATTCTTAAGGAATATCCTACTACTGGAATATTCTACTGCTTAAGGAATATTTTGTTAAAACTCTCTCAGAATATTCTAATATTCATAAGAAATATTATAATATCCTTAAGAAACATTCTACCATCCTTGAAGAATATTCTAATAGATGTAATATTCCATTAATATTGTGACTTACGACTGTAATATCTTCAAGGAATATTTTATTATTCTTGAGGTATATTCCAATTTACGTAAGGAATATTCTGTTTATATTCTGGCGGATATTTTAATATCCTTATGGAATATCTTACTGTCCTTGAGGAATATTTCAATCTTTGTAAGGAATATTCCATTAATATTCTGGTAGATATTCTACTGTCTGAAAAGAATTATCTATCTGAAAGAATATTTTAATACTCGTAAGGAATATTTTAATATCACTAAGGAATACTTTAATATTTTGAAGGAATATTTTAATATCCCTAAGGAATATTCTATATGTAGAATATTCCTAATGATATTTAAAAATTCTTTAAAGATATTTAGTAAAATATTTTACTATTGCTTAGGAAAATTTTAGTATCAGTAAGAGTATTTTAATGGAATATTTTAAAGGAGAGAATATTTTAATATTAGTAAAAAATATTACTGCACAATAAAACAAAGGGATATTACTTAAATATTTCTATAGTAGAAATTATAAATATAATATTTATTTATGTATTTATTTTCTTTTTTCAAACATACGAGCAAAGCCTTAAATATTGAGTAAATATTCCAAAGATCGAAAGTCGGAATATTCCAGAAAGAACAATTTTACACATTAATGAAATTAGTTTTCAAAAAGTATGTTTTCAAATAAAAATAGTAATTACTTGAATAGAGATGTAATGTATGTGGAAAACAGAAAAAAAGGCAAAGGTGAATAATTAAGGTTAATTTTAATTTTCAAATTAATTAGAATGAGTATTGGCCTCTTTCTTTTTTTTTGTAAATTCATTACTTAATGGGAATTCAATTTACTAAAGGCACTCACTCTTCTTTTATACTTGAATCCTGACCTCACCACAGTTTTCTTTTCTCGTCGTCGTTCTTTTTTCCCTTGTCTCCTACTTTTAATCTTACTACTCGTTTCTTTTCACTTTTGTAAGCGTTATTTTTTTAACACTTTTTTATTTTCTCTCCCTCTTTCATTCTCTCTCTCTCTCTCCCTCTCTTAATACAGAAAAAGAGAGTGAAATATAAAAAAAAAAGCTCTTCTCTTACCTTTTCCGTGTAATTCTCGAGACTTTTGCCATCCAAGAACCAGGTGAGTTTTGCCGCAGGTCTTGAACCAACAGTCATACAGGTGATATCGTATTTCCGGTCAGCGCTAAGAGGTGCGTGTTCACTGCTGAGAATTGTCACGGTCAGTGGTCGTACTAAAAGAACAGAAGGAGATGGGAAAATTTAGTAAATAAATAAAGAAACATTAATGATTACGAGTTGTTGAACTTTTTATTTTTTAAGTACCTCAGGCGTGTAACTACCCTTTAAGATAAGCTCTCTCTCTCTCACTCGCTTCTTTTTTTTTGTTTTTTTTGTTTTTGTTTTTGTTTTCTTTTATATCGTTAAGTACTCTCGCGGCATGGACGTAAGAATTCAATGGAAGACAGGAAACAAATTATGTTTTCTCTCTCTCTCTCTCTCTCTCTCTTTCTCTTTAAAGTTTCTTTTGAAAACTTTTCACTTTAATGCTGATTATAAAGGATTGTAATTTCTTCTCGAGTTATTAAATTATTTTTCCGTAACTGGCGTCAGTTATACAAGTATACCAACGTGACAGGGCAAATTAAACAAAGTGTCGTGAAAATTGTCGACGTTATTTCTTGTTCTAATCACGTGTTCGTGGGTATTTTTCTATTTCTTATCCCTTGGTTATTTGGTACAAAATTCGAATAGTAGTAAATATTCCGAATTCGAAATATTCCTTTAGTGAAATATTCAATTATGGGAAAATTGGAATTTTTCCTTGAAAAAGTGTTCAAATATTCCAAAGATCGGAATAACGCAATTTTCATAATTTTCATAATCATTTCTATTTCTTAATTACAATTGTTTTAATAAAATTCCAAGTTTTTTTTTAAATAAAGGAAAATAAATGTTTATAAATTCTATTTGTCAATTATAAATTTTAATTGAAAATGAAATTGAAACTTTTTGAATTTTTGAAAAAGTTGTCTAAGAATTATAAATCTATTTTTTTACAATTTAATATTTCAATTTTACAAAAATTTCGATTATTAGAAAATTCTGCAATTAAATATACATAGAAAATAAAAACTTGAAATAATTTAAAAATAAAATCAGTTAAAATTTTTCCAAAAAAAATTAATTCTACAGAATTATCAGTATGAAAAATTCAAATTTTCGCAAAGATTTTAATTTGAAATATTTTTAAAATTCAATTATTTCTAAAAATTCACGCTATAATGCTTTTAATATTCAATTATAATATAAAATTTTAACTGAAATTCATTTTTATATCAATTTTTATTAAAAACTTCAATGAGCATTCAATTATTTAAATACAAAAATAAATAATTCATCGAATAATTGAATGTTTCTTAAAATTTAATTCTCATAAGGAATTTTGTAAATAAATTTTTAAATAATTTAATTCTTTTAAGAGTTTTTTAATAAAATTCTAAAGAATAGTTATTTTATTACTTTTGAAAATAATTGAATTTCTGCAATCATTTGTAACTTCTACAAATTATTATTATTTTTTAAGTAGTAGAAGTAAATTGTTAGTCAGCCGCATTTTTAAAAATAATTATTATTCTTACAATAATTCTTACTATTATTAGGTATTTTTTCAGTAGTAGAAGTAAATCATTAGTCAGACGTTTTTTTTAATTATTATTCTAATTATTATTCTAATTATTATTAGTATTGCATTTTCGTCTCAGTAGTAAATGTAAACTATTAGTCAGACGAATTTTATTTTTATTATCTTTATTATTATTACTCTTACTTTTATTATTTTATTTTCGTCTCAGCAGTAGAAGTAAATTGTTAGTCAGACATATTTTTTAAAATTATTATTATACTTGCAATTATTATTATTATTTTTATCATTTTCTCAGTAGTAAAAGTAAATTATTAGTCAAACGTTTTTTTAATTATTACTGTAATTATTAGTTTATTATATTTTCGCCTCAGTAACAGAATTAAATTATTAGTCGGATGAATTTTATTATTATTACTTTTATTGTTTTATTTCCGTCTAAGTAGTAAAAGTAAATTATTGGTCAGACATTTTTAAAAATTATTATCCTTATTATTCTTGTTATTATTATTAATATTATCATCTTCTCAGTAGTACAAATAAATTGTTATTCACCCGAGTCGAAATTTAGACCCTACTTAGCCTCTGAAAATGTAGGGCTTATTCAGGTTTAGCAGTCGTAAAGTAGGGTCTGATTTCAATACAATTTTTAAAAACTAGACCCTCCTTTGACTCCCAAAGTAGGCTGAAATTTGCCAATCTTCCATTTGGAGAAGCAAAGGAGGGTCTACTTCTAAGAAACCTATACCGTACTTTTAAACCTCGTAGACCCTACTTTCATACTCCTAGACCCTACAATTAGAAAAAGAAAAATTTGAAGATTTGCTCAGATTCAAATGAAGCACTTGGGATGAGTAAAAGTGGAATTTTATGTGTTTTATAGCGTCTATATACACGAAGTGTATATAGACGCTATAAAACACATCAGTATTTATGAATTTGGAGTACTTTTTGCATTTGCAGTGTTTCAAGTAATGCATTAAAAAATAATTTAAAATTTTCTTTTAGAATGTAGGGTCTAGGAGTATGAAAGTAGGGTCTACGAGGTTTAAAAGTACGGTATAGGTTTCTTAGAAGTAGACCCTCCTTTGCTGCTCCAAATGGAAGATTGGCAAATTTCCGCCTATTTTGGGAGTCAAAGTAGGGTCTAATCGTATTAGAATTAGACCCTACTTTACTACTCCTAACACTCAATAGACCCTGAAAATTCAGGGTGAAAGTAGGGCTTAAATTTCGACTCGGGCAGAAACATTTTTAAAAATTATTATTATTCCAATTATTATCTTTTCAGTAGTATAAGTAAATGATTAATCAGACGTATTTATAAATTATTATTTATTTTTAATTATTATTTTGATATAAAAATATTAAAAATGCGAGAAAAAAATTAATAAAACACACTTTTGAAAATAATTCAATTTCTGCAATTATTTTTAATTTCTCCAAAATTCAATTTTTTTAGTGTTTTTATCTAAAATTCATTTTCAAATCAATTTTTATTAGAAAATTCTACGAGAATTTAATTATTTAAATTCAAAAATAAATAATTTATTAAATAATTGAATTCTTTGTACTAAGTGTAATAGAATTTTTAAGAATAATCGAATTCTTTTAAAAAAATTCAATTAAAATTATACTGAAAATAATGAAAATACTGTAGTGAGTTTTTATATTTACGAAAATAATTGAATTTCTAAGAATAATTTTATTATTTATGAAAATAATTGAATTCCTGCGAAATTTTTATTATTTTTTGAAAATAATTAAATGTTTTTGTAGAATTTTATTAAAATTTTGTATAAATAATTGAATTCTTTTGGAAAATTTTATAAAATTGGTTTATGTTGAAAATAATTGAATTTAGGAACATTTTTGAAAATAATTGAATTTGAGAGAAGAATTTTATTTTTATAAAGATAATTAGATAAATAATTTATTAAATAATTAAATTCTTTTGAGAAGTTCAATTAAAATTGTACTATGATAATAATTGAAATCTTGTAATGAGTCTTATTATTTACGAAAATAATTGAATATTTAAGAATAATTTTATTATTTGTGAAAATAATTGAATTATTATGAAGAATGAATTCTAAATTATTTTTATTTTATATTTAATTCAAAATTGTAATGACAAATAGGGTAACTGCACCAATTGCCGAGGGTGCTCCAATTGTCGAGGATAATAATTTTCTTTTTTAGATAAATAGTATAATATATAATATTTAAGAACAAAAAAAATTTCTAAATAATCTTTGTATTTTCAACTGTATATTTATATATACAAATATCGTAGCGATTCTACTAAAATAATTATTTAATTAATATTATAATTCACTGCTGTGAAATTTACACGAATCTCCATTTTCTTAATACTTCAGGTTGATTAAAACAGATTTTTAGAAATGCAAATTAAACGTATTTATAATGACTTTTTGTGTACAAAATTATTATTATAATTTTGTACACGAACTAAATTAATTTTGTATGCATGTTTTTTTGTTAAAAAAAAATATTTAATATTTTTTAAAAGCAAATCATCGGTATTTGGTTCCTTTTTTTTGACAGATCCATTTTTCGAGGTAATGACTCGAAAATTGGTGTAGTCACTTTTTTCGCTGATGCACCATTTATCGATGGTTAAGTGTTTATTTACTAAACGTCAAACATAAATGCCAAACATTTATAGGTACAGAGAAAAAGAAAAAAAATGCTCCAAAAATTTACAACCAACAGAAAATAATCAACCAAAAAAACGAGGAAGACCGAAAAAAAATTAATAAAAGAATGCATTATTTAAAACTAAAAAATTTTGTACTATAGTTTAATTATAATTAACCATTATATTTACAGTTCGTAGGTAATAAAAGTTTATTTTATTCGTTTACAAATTTAATGTGACTTAAATTAATTTATTTTTTCAATTAATGTCTGATTAACAAAATTGATTAAATTTAATTAACTTATATTTATAAAAGTTTAAAAAACAGTTAAATAATTTTCTGTCCTGTATCATCTACTATAAAAATGTTTTATATCGATATTATAAATTATTCAATTATAGTTAAATAAATATATTTGTTTTCTGGTAATGTTCTATAATATTTTTATCGAAAAAATAAATATCTACTCGATTTTCTAATATCTGTACAGGTTAATTGTTAGGTTATATTGGGTTATATGTTTAAAAATGTCATACCCTCGACAATTGGAACAGACCCTCGAGAAATTAGCACAAGACCATCGAAAAATGGTGCTTTTGCTCGATTGACTTTTAAATATATTTTTTGCTTAACAATTTAGTTTATATTAAAACAATAAATATGAATATTAAACATTATTAGATCCTTCGTCCAAATATACAAAAATCAAATTTTAAAGTGCATTTACTTCCGAGAAAAAAAATGTCAAAGTCACATGTTGCCTAAAACCCTCGACAATTGGTACAGTTACCCTAGAAAGAATCAGAATTTTTTTTTACTTTTTTTCATTAAAAGACTAAAATTTTTTTAAATTTTATGTTTTGTCAAATTGAAATTATGCAGATTTCTGTTCTTCACTTCTAAGCAAAATTAGAAAATTGTTAAACAA